GAACGTGACGACTTCTGCTTCAAGATTTATCACTGCGTTAACTCGCAATTCTTGCAAATTCTAATTTGTTGTTGCGGATTTTGGTTCATTGCGTTTTCATTGAAAAATCTTGATATATATATATATATATATATATATATATATATATAAGAAATACTTAGGCCGTTTGCTGGCTTGTACATCAGTGTCACTGCTGCGATAAACATTTTCGTACCGAAAGGGTTAACTACTCGACAAATAAGTAATAAAAATTGAATACTAAATTACTATTGTTAAATTTTTCAACCTATGTGTGCAGTTTGTCAGGAGTTCCTTTTGCTTAGTTATTCAGATATGCTGCAAAAACTTAACGATGATCCACTTCAAATGCTTAATATCCTATTGACGAAAAGCAACCGCCACTGGCTTGGAAATAGTAATTGGTTTGAAAGCATCAAAAATTCTTATCCTGCGTTAAAAATCGATAACTACTTGGAAAATAAAACAAATGATAAAAATCAACATGCGACTTATTACGAAAATAACGGTATGTATATTTTTTCTAAATCTTATCTTGTAAAGGAAACCTACGTTTTTTATACCAGATTTCGCTAATCTACCTACTTCAAGAGTGAAAGAACCGAAGAACTTTCGGTGTCAGCATCTAAATGCGGAAGTTCCGGAATTTCATCCCAAAGTAAGTGGTGCTACTACAGCAAGTGCAACGACAATATTTCTCAGAGCTCAACGCATGCTTGTAAACAAATCGCTGCTACTAGTTCTTTATTGAATCTCTCCGAAAATAGATCACAACTCAATTCAAATCATAAGACTGTGCCTGTGCAGTCCATCGTGAGAGATTCGAAATATCCTTCTGAATTATTTTCTTATCGAGTTTTGTCTAATTCGAGATCAGATCGGCAACTATCGTCATTAGGAACCCGAAAATTCAACGAGGTACGAGAAACTGAACAACTGTTTATTCAAAATAATAACTGTTCTTATAAATTTTCATCGACCGGCTTACCGAATAGAAATTTTGCATTTGGCCGACCACAACCGTATATACAAAAAAACGTTTGTACATCGTACGAGAAAGAAGACGCTCTGAATCGTTATGAAAGTGATCAATGCGGCTTAGTAAATCGCTCCTTGAATAAGAGCAAAAGCGCTAGAAAAGAAAACCAAAAAACTCTCACTAATTCTCACGTGGTTCATGATAAAATTGACTTATTATATCCGTTTGATTTCGATACACATGTCGCGATAGCACAATGGATTCGTACAGGATATTCGACAAGAGCGAATGATTTCAATTACGTTTCGGCGCTGATGAGCGACACGGCAATAATACCGATTTTGAAAGATAAAATACAAAGCATTGCAAGCAGTACTATAACTAATAATATTTGTGTTCAGGCAGAGTCTAAAGTTAAGAGTCAAAAGCCTGTAATCACAGAAATATTTCCAGATTTAGTAGCAGCAAAATCCGATAGTAAGAAAAAAAATACCAAAAAGGTAAATAAAAAAAAAGTCGAAGTTCAGGAAATTTTGGAGCCCAAAAAACGATTGTACAGCGCTGTCCTATGCAATTCTAGTCAAGCTAGTGAATTTGTTTCTCCTTTGGTCGAATTACCGATTACTGAAATAAATAGGGTATCATTGCCGAGCGATACAACTGATGTGGATACAAATTGCGTAACACTGTGCTTGCGTAATATTTCGGGTAAAGAGGAATACTCCGATCATTCTACACCAGACATTTCGAAGAAGACCGCAAGTACTGGAAGTATGGAAAAATGCTATGAAGAACTCGAAAGGCAGGCCATCGAACAATATAAAGAATCAGATGAAAGTTTAGACAGTAAGTACTACCAAGAGCTCGAGAGGCAAGCCGTAGAACAATATAGCGCATCGAGCCAAAGTAATATCGACAATCAGCCTCAGGCAACAGCATCAATGGACTCCAGTCAATTGTCCACCGATACAAACGCCCCTTTAAAGGTCGATGTTATTAATTTTATAAAATTAGGCAAGGCGACACCAAAACAAAAGAAAAAAGGAAAGAAACGAAAGTCAAAGCGGACCAATTTAAAAAACCTTAACAGCCCCCACACGGGGGCGGATTTAAAATCGAATGTTGCTATCAACAAAGATTTAAATTCGGTAGAAAGCAGAATGGGAAAAACATTCGACTACTTTATTATTCAATATACCTATAAATGCAAAACAATCAATTTGAAATTACTTGTGCGCAATGAAGAATTGGCTAAGCATATGAAGAATATTGCACAGGAACTAAAATCAGGGGTAATATGTAGGCAGTGTAAATTTTTTTCATTGATGTCTTCAGTAGAAGAACTTTATAGCGGCAAAGGAATCCATTATTTTCCTATCGAAGAATGTACGTTCACAGATCTCAACCATTTCTCACAAGTAGATGATGAATCGTGCGTAATGACAACTAAAGTATTTTTTGAAGGCAAAGAGATTGAAGTGTACAGGGAAATGTCTAATATGCTGTTTTGCAATGCAAATCTACGGTTAATGGTTCCCAGCCGAACTTATTTAGAGAACTTTAAGAAACATCTACCAAAATCAGCGATTGAAAAGAAAATTATAAAACACACAGCAAATTCTCATGACACTACACGTCATTTTCTTCAAATGGGTGTGAGGGCTATACACAACTGTAATATTTTTTGTCATTTCATTTATTATTCTTGTCGTCATGAGCTCAACGACTATTCGAATATAAAACTAATGGGCTATGAAAGAGTGCGAAGGCTCATAGACCACGTCCGAAGTGTATGGCGTGCCGCAAAAGGTTACTATGCATCTGGAATATTTTTCGATGGATATCCTCCTAACATGACCGTGAAATTGTGGTCTCCATTTAAATATCTTTTGCGCGCGAAGCGATTCAATAAAGAGCCGGAGCGTGATAAAAGTTCCGAAGGCATGATCAAGTATCGTTGCAATTCCAAAAATTATAATTTCATGTCGAAAACAGGATCTCTGAAATCGCTACACACCTTTATTGATCAATTTGAAATAAAACATATGATCGAATCGGAATATATATACACTATGCTTAATCTACAGAAGCATTTTAGCGGCATGGTCCATTACAAATATTATGCAAAACCAAACGATACGGATGAAATTTCGAACAGCATTAAATTTGATTGCGAATTCATAAGAAACGTATCCGGAATTTTAAGAAACGTCAATCCAAGGATAAGTGAATATACTAATAATCGTGTCGGGTTTTTCGGAAAATCTGTCGAACCAATTTGTTCTAATACTTCGATATATCATATAACTGCTGATATTTTAGAAAAGCATTGGCTATTTATGTGGGGATTCGTAGCAGTCGATTTAAACATATGCGATCCATGGAATTATGACAATGATGACCACTTAAATGACGAATATCCGATATATTATCCAAAATTCATTGTCAAAAAGCCAATCATCGATTCAATTCCAGTCAAACCGATTTATCAAAATCCGCATATATGCTCTTGCAAAAATAACCATATTTCAGAATACTTACAATTGACCACAGTGAAAAATAAGAAAAAATATTTACAGCTATCCGAACAGCAAAAAGGTGATTTAAAATCTTTAATAGCTCTAACTTTGAATAGAGAAATTAAATCTAAAGAAGATGTTCAAAAGATTTCTGTAACTATGTCAAAGTTAATTAAAAATGAAATCATTGATAAATTAGAACAAATGTCCATCAATAAAAAACTAAATACGGAGAGAGCAATGATCATAAAATCTGCTGAAAAAATTCATCGAAAGATAATAAATTCAACGCTCACAGAAATTGTTCTAGAATTATGTAGAGGCAGAAAGATGAAAGACAGTGATTTAGAACGCAAAGAACAGATATTTGCGGCAATGATAGAAAACTTGAAGCAGCTCTATAATGTAAGAAATGAAGCGCAGGAGAGAAATACTATTCAAGTCGCTAATATTTTGCACAGCAATGGCACTCACAAAAGTAATAATATTTCAATGAATGATGACATACTCACTGCTGATCAACGCACGAACGCAAATAAAAAAAACATGGAAGTCGATATGCAAACAGCCAACTCAAGTAAACAACGAAATGCCTGTGTGGAAGTTAACTCCATCGAAGTACAGACCACCAAAACAAACCGGCCTTGTACTCCAATAGTATGTACAAGTCGTAACATACGATTAAGCAGTGGTGATAAAAATAAAAGCAAACCTTTAACAGAGACAGCATCTTATGACATCATTCACAAAATCACCCGATACAGTCCCCGGCCTAATCGTAAAAATAAATCCCCGTCCCTATTGGAAGCGATTTCACAAACATCAAGCACACCACAAATGGTTCTGGGGGAAGAGGAAGAAGAACTATCAGAAGATAACACAAATTATAGTGAAGCGGCTGACAAAAAACCTGACACTTCTTGCGGTGTTATGTAAACAAATCCATCAATAGCTTTAACTAACCCATTTGATTTGATCACAATGAATTTGAGCAATTCATTCCTGTAATTAATTGGCTACTTTATCTTTTAGTTATTAATTTTGGATAAATCGTGATTCACATTAGAAGCAATCATCTAATGACGGCATATAATGATACTCCGTCTATTGAAAATGGTACCTTGTACTCGTACAAATTGTGGTTTAGAGATAAGAGATATCTTCAAAACATATCATAATATGAGGATTCAGTTCAGTCATACATCATAAAGAACAAAAATATAGATAAAAAAGAATATAATTTAAAAGAATCATGTACTTATATTGTCAACTAATAAAAATAGTTCAATCAATATTCTTTATTATTAACATTTATGAAAAGTAATAATCACTTTCTTTGTTCTAAACGCACGCAACAAGAATACTTATATAAAATAAGTGTTTAAAAAATTATTTAATTAAAACTAATTTAAATAAATAATTAATTATAACCTTCAAAAATAATTTTATGTCAATTGAAACAATTATATTATTAACTCATTAAGTCATATGCACCTTGGTCTTTGAGGGAGACACATATTGTAATAAGCTGTCTTGCGCCAAAAACTAGCATCTTTCCAAGAACACCAGCCTTTTGATTGAATTGTAATTAAATCATCAGGACCAACATAATGCGGATCTAGTATTAAGAATTTAATATCACCAGTTTCTGCATTGTAATCGACCCCCAAAATTGTATGGGCCAAAACACCCCCACCTTTGTAAATAGATTAAAAAAAGACATTGTTTATAATAGACTAGCTCAAATTAAGTATCTATTACAACCAATTACTATATCTATTACATCTATTACATATGTTAGTAAAGAGAATTTAAATCTGTTCTTCGGGTGATTAAATTTATATTATCTTATTTATTGGCATTAATTAATATGGATACTTAAATTTATGCTCTCACCTATCATAATCGGAGTGCCATTAGTTTCAAAATGCATGGAAAGATCTGGCCCCATAGTTTTCATTTCTTCACCATTATTAACAAAAATTATTCTGGATGTGACGCCCAGCATTGATTCTAAGCAAAATGAAACCTGAAATAATTAATATGAAGAATTGATCAAATATATACAAATTATTGTCCTTATCACAACCATTCAGAAAAAGAAAACAACCAAAGTTTCATAAGTATGATTTTTTTAAATACCTCAGTAGAACCTATCCATTGCTTAGAACCAATGAAAGATTGTTGTTTGTCTCCAAGATCAACAAGACATTTTTGTATTTCTGTGTGAGTAGGTATTGGATGATCTGTATATCCTTGAAGTCTGTAAAATTTGATTAGTTAGTCTGTAGAATTTAAAATAATTTTATGTTGTGTTATGTTACCTAAACCACGAAATCAATGTCTGCAAAGATCTATAAGCACATCCCCATCCATCATCATTAAATTTATCTTGCATGTAATGATGATAAGCATATTTTCCATAAACTATACTCATAGTCCCACCTTTCACTAAAGTACAAATAGGAATTTAAATAACATGATAAAACAGATTGCTTAATTATTAATTTTATGTAATATATACAAATTATAATTAATTATGAAACATAATCACCTTGTGAGCTAATCCCCTCATGTACATTCAATAGAGGTCCTTTATTTAAATCATCAATAAATATATATGAATTTGCTCGTCTAAACTGCGGTCTATCCATAGGTAATGAAAGTTGTTGATGTAACATTTTTCTTATTTCCGCTGAAAATGAAATAATGATAACTTCACTTTGTTTAAATTATAACAGTGGTTAATTAGTACTTTCATTCCAAATCGATTAAATGAAGTTGAAACTTTTCAAAAAATTTCAAATATATTTGCAAAAATTACCATATTTCTTTTCTTGTATATTCTTGGGATAATAATATGTAAAGAAGTGTCCACAGTTAGTTGGTAGATAATGATATGGGATTGGTTGAGCAAGTTCCATATCAGAGCATGTAATTTGATTTATGATATTACTTTCCATTAATCGCAACGAACTACATGTGCTTTCAACAAGCATGTCATACAGCTGCGTAATCTTCGTGTTCCGATGAATCATAGAAAGTGCATCCACAATTAATGGCAGCTGTATATAGGAATCAGTTGCTAAAATATATAAGAAGAATATTCTAAATACATAAAATTAAAGAAGATATTTTTATTAAGTATTACCCCCAGTAATCAAAGACATTTTCACTGCAGTTTTGTTCAGTGTTTCAGCACTGAATTCTTTTGTTGCCTTCATGACAAGTCCCGCATTCATTACATTCTTAAAGAAAAAATTTAATATAAAATCATTTACAACTATATATTATTATATGCTTAACTTAAAAAGACTGAAGTAAGCACAAGCTTTTTTTGTTAACTAAATTACTAAATTCTAATTGAATAATAATTATTATTCAATTACACTTGACTACTACATTCTTGATCACAGTATAGAAAGTCTAATTCACATATCTAATATTTACTTAATTACATCTCACTATTTCAAACAAGTTTTTCTTCTTCTTGCTTTTCAATTTATCTTCTTCATATGAGCTATATAATTTAAACAAATCCTCCACGCTTGACTCTTTTGTAAGATTTTTAAGGCAACTATCTGTACCTGCACCCATTAGGAAAACCTGAGTTTTAGGAAAGTTGAAAGAAACTACTCCAGAAACCATCTAAATAAATAAACAAATATAATATTAAATTTTCCCAAATATAAAGATTTAATGAACGGAAGACCTATATTCACCTTTTTCCTTAATTGTGTCATAGAATCTGCGACGCTAGTTGCTGTATTTTCACATACTAAACGCAAAATTGCTTGTAATCTAATGTATATAAACTCATTAAATAAATAACTTTCCTCAACCACTTCATATTTTGCTTCTTCTAATTTGCCATGAACAAAAAATGAAGCCTTCATGCCTAAACTAGTGCAGTTTAACACAACAGGGTTATCTGTAACATCAACATCCTAAAAACAATGAAATAATTTAATACATTGTTTTATGTTAATACATAATTATTGTGAATTGGGATTCTTATCAGAATTATGTTTTTAAGGAAAAATAGCAATTAGCAGATCACAATAAGAAAAACGATCCTAGGTTGCTTTTTGATATCATTTGTAAGCAAGTAAATAATAAGAGTAAGGGCAATTATTGGATTGGCGTTAACTAGCGTTTAAAAAAAACACAGAACAATTACCAATAAAATTTCTTTGAGATGAGCTTGTGTGTCCGAGCAATCCCCAAACTTGACTAAACCACATAGATATACTTCGGTTGGAAAATTATTTTGTATTTGACTATAATTCGACTTATAATCAGAGCCTTGAAAGGTTTCAAGATTGAAGCCAACCACCAATAACGTGCCGTCATACATCGTGCCATAAAGGCAACCACTGTATTGTGCACTAACAGAACTTAATCTCTGAAATAAGAAGAATATTTTATTGTCCATATAATGTATTCGACAAACAAACTCAATTATTTTGCATACATTTATAACATAAGTAGAAATTTTTAAATTTGGTGACATTTCAGTTTAATTATTGTAAATTATCTTCAGTTTGCATATGTTAATACACGTTGTCATTTGTAACATCAACAGGCAGTTTTTTCATCTAGAAACGTCAATCGAATTCCCCGTGTCATAGACATCAATATCTTTTAGATGTGACACCTTAAAGCAATTCATTTAATCAATAAAAAAAGCGCCAGATTTGAATTCGAAAATTCATATCCATATCAGCACAAGCAAATTACGGTTCATAATATTTATTAGGTATGTAGTTACATGTGGTTTAGTCCATAAATAAATAAGTATAAAAGGTTTAGTCAGTGAACTATTTACATTGTCAATATATAAATATGTATATATGTATAAAAATTATATAATCTATAAAAACAAAATTCTTAAAAAAAAATCATTCAAATTATGCCAAATTATTATTACTATAAGGCCAATAAACTGTTTACCAATATATTACATTGTTGTAATAGCCAAATAACTGTAAGAAACTATTTTGATAATAAAGAATTTTAAAAGTTGTGTCAACTTTATATATACGAGCATATTAACATGCTAGTTTACTGGCTTGTAACCTTCTGGATTCATTTTTTGCCATCTCCATGTATCATCACACATGTCTTGTAAAGTTTTCGTAGCCCTCCAATGCAACTCATTTTGTGCGAGTGTTGGATCTGCATAACAGGATGCTACATCACCAAGCCTTCGATCCCCAATTTTGTATTTTACTTCATGGCCACACGATTTTGAAAATGCCCTAATAACTTCTAAGACCGAATATCCTTGACCAGTACCTTTAAGAAGTATATTCTTAAAGTATTTTAAAAAAATCATCAATTCTGCAATAAGATTTCTAGTCATAGCTTACCCAAATTATATGCTTTCCATCCTTTGAACATTGGATGCATCAGCATCTCCAATGCTTTTACATGACCTAAAGATAAATCAGAAATATGAATATAATCCCTTACACCTGTACCATCTTTTGTGTCATAATTGGAGCCATACACGGTTACTAAATCCCTTTTACCTACTGCCACCTGTTTAATGTTAAATATTCTTAGAGTTAGTAGGTACACCATAACCATAAATAAGTTAATATCACATCACTAAAAGGAATCAGATATTTATTGTGCTATATTTCACATGTTCTTAAAGTTAGAAAGAGAAATGTTTTAAATATGCCTATATCCGACACCAAAAAACATATATTGAAAGAAACTAGTGCGTATTTCAAATACTCATATGTTACTATATAACAAACTAAACTAAAATAGTGAATAAAAAAGAATAGAATTTAACCATGCTCATTCATATATATATATATATATATATATATATATATATATATATATATATATCTTCAAAGAAGATTTTATATTTACGTTCTGTTTTTATTTTTTCGACTTGTGGCTGAAAACCTTATCACAATATGTTTCAAAGTCGAAATAAACAATATATATATATATATATATATATATATATATATATATATATATATATATAATAATATATAAATAATTATAAAGGAAAAAATTAAAGATTAACTTCTAAATCTTTGCCTTTTATTTGATGTATTGCCCTTGAAGAACTTACTCATATTTCTCAACATCAAAACTAACTTCTTATATATATATATATATATATATATATATATATATATATATATATACATACCTGAGCAATATATGGCATCAAATTATTTGGTATTCCATTTGGATCCTCTCCAATTTTACCAGATTCGTGTGCTCCTACAGGATTGAAGTACCTCAAACAAATCACTGCAAATTTCTATAAATTATGACAAGAAAGAGAACATGATTATTTCATTAACGACTTTTAAAAATGCAAGAATGTAAATAACTCATGCAATGTATCTAAATAAATTATCTTACTTCATCTGATGTACATAAATCCTTAAGTATTTCTTCAACAAAATATTTTGATTTTCCATATGGGTTTGTGCATCCAGAGCCTGTAGGATGGGATTCGGGAATTGGTAAGCATTGGGGTGTTCCATAGACAGTTGCAGAACTAGAGTAAAGGAAATGAAAAACTCCGTTTTGGGCCATTACCTATCATATAAAAAATACAAGCATATACATATAGATAGATAGATAGATAAATGAAATAATGATGTAACTAAATGTAATACTTCTAGTAACACATTGGTTCCTGTGATATTATTTTGGTAATAAAGCAATGGTTTAATACAGGACTCTCCAACGGCTTTTAGGGCAGCGAAGTGACCCACACAATCAATTTTATGCTGTAAATGAAAAAAAAATATCTCTAAATAGTAGGATTGTTAATAAAATAACATGATAAACACAAATCTTACATTTTTGAATACAGTGACTAAATCATCTTTGTTCCTTATATCTACATCATAAAATACCACAGATCTTCCTGTAATTTCCTGAGCTCGTTTTAAAGATTCGGGCAGAGCTTCCCCTTTGGCACAGTATGTATTACATAAATTATCTACAACCACCACCTCATGACCATTTTTGAGTAGATCAATGACTGTATGAGAGCCAACATATCCTGCACCTCCAGTTATCAAAATACAAAATTTAGTACTCATTTCTAAAAAATAGAAATCTTTATTAAGAAATGCAAGAAACTATAAGTATATAGAGTATAGCTATAAGTTATAAGTAACTTGTGTACTTTAAGATTACACTGTAGAGCAAGTATGTTTATCTGCAAATCATATTGATAACATGATGGGGCGTTCATTTTGTCATAACGTTATCGTAAACGTCAACATACAACATAAAAATGCTACGTGGAATTCCTATTGTAAATGAATTTGCATGCGTCCGATATGTAAACATATTTGCCAAGAGTAAATATGTGGTTGTGGCGGCTGCGGCGGCTGTCAGTTGACACTGTTGACAGATTCAAAATCTATAGATTGCACGAGGACATTTTGTCAAGAAGCAAGGATCTTCTCAAAGACCATACAACAACCCCTCTTTAGGGGTTGCGGGATGAGGGATGAGGGCTGATGTCACCTAGACAATATTAGAATATTAGAATTCAATATAACCATACTCCTAGATTCATATTCATGCCTCTTTTTGGACAAGAATTTTACAAAATATCAGATATAAATTCCCATTTCTTATAAGTATAATTTATGTTGAGTCTTTAATTAAGTCCAAAACGACTTCTAGTCTTACAAATACAAAATATTGTTTTTATAATTCATCCTTATTCTTATGTTTCTTATTTTAGTTCAATAAAATATATTTATAACAAAAGTTTCATTCTGTATTCATAGGACCCATAGGACATTCAAATCTTATTTCACAGTCTCTAAGTAAGTTGTCTTCAAAATGTGCATTTTCAACATGTTTAATAATAATTTTATTTCTTTTTTTGCTTTTATGACATTTGCAATGAAGTTAAACAATTATAAAAATGGTAGATGATGATGAAAACCTGCATAAAAAAGAAATATGTAAAAAAACTGATGTTGAGCCTAGAAAAATAAATAAACATTACAGATTCAGAGCGCAATCAGATCATATTAGAAAGCACCAGCAAAAAAGGAAACATCAATCTCCACTGTTAGATGTATCAGCAGGTACATTTAAATGTGTGAAGTTAATTTTACATTAAATAATATTATTAGTGAAATCTATAAAAAAAATTCTACAGTGGCATCACAAATACGGACTGCTCCAAATGATGGTACTGAATTTCAATGTATGCAGGCTCGCCAAGGACAACACTTGGCTGTCAAAGATAGAATACCTGGCCATTATTTGATGTCCAGAAGTTACTGTAGAAACCCTCCTAGTGTACAGTGTATTTCCTGTACACCAGTAGAACCATGTGATAGGTGGTGAAAGCATTAATAAGCAATATGCTACTTATAGAAATGAATTCTCAACAAAATTTATAATTGAATTTTGTTTGTTACAGAACAATTCACACATTCGGATCAACAAATTTGACGCCTTTGAATCTATCTTTATTGATTCAAAATTTCTTGATACGGTTAGGTCTCTCCTGTCATGGTGTTCTAGCTGGAGTATCTCTGTGTCATATCGTTCTAACGTTCTCTATGAATTCTGATTCTCAATGCTATTTTTTGGCTTACGGACAATTTTTCTCACCATATACTGCAATGTTTCATCTTCTATGTGTTATAAGTTTGATATCAGCTTTTGATCGGTATGAAATAATAAAAATATTGTACTAATAATTAAAATATATTAAAAATTGTAACACTTAAGAATTATGTATTTGAACCTAAATTATATTGCAGGTATGATATATTGCATTTGGACATAAATCATTTATCAGATTTATTGAATTATCGGAAATCTGCAATAATTATACCCATATATTTAGTAACTATGCTTTTGTCACTGTATTGCTCACATATGGATAATTCATTATATCTCCAGTTATATGCAGATCCTAAAGCAGTAAGTGTGTTACTTTTACATTTTAAACACCATTGATTGAATAAATCTTTACATAACGAGATCTCTTTTTTGCAGACTATTCCTGAGACTTTTTCAAATAACTGGCAAGCCTGTTCCATTTATCGAAGTTCAGGTGCAATACTGGCTTGGATAATTATCGTAATTTCTGACAATTTGCATGACAATATGTTTTACACCCACTTGATCAATTTAAATAAATATCAGAGATAATTGAAAAAAATGTTACAATTTTTTTTTATCAACAATTAAAATTAAGATATCTACAACTCAGATATGTAAATTGCAAAGGTACAAATTTTTTATATAATATTTTTTAACTGCTAAGAAAAATCTTATTCCTTAGTGATATTGCACAAATAATCATTAGACTCTGATCATGTTTATGCATCAATTTGTTTCTGTTTAAGCCAAAGAAATTTTTCATTGCAATTCTACAAAGCAATGCCAATATTTTTAATTAGGTACCTATTATTTACTTATATTTTCAACTGATATCACAGCACAATATCAGGTTATTTGAATCGCTCTTGTTACTAAATACTCTTACTACTGATTTCCAGATGAATATAAAATTTAAAAAAGTGATTAAATATAAATTCTAGAATACTTATGGTACAATAACAATAACTTCTTCAAATATTAATAAAATATATATAATATTTATAATATACATGTTTTAATGGATTCGTTTTTAACAAAAAATCTAAAAGTAAAAAAAAAATTAAAATCGTGAATAGAGTTACAGTTATTGCTTGATTTAACGTTCATGTCAAAAGTTCTAATTTAAACAAAAATAATATGAATTGAATTTTTAGAAATTCTGTTGTATTACCCTACTGATGATATCACAATACTTTTGAATCATTTTTCAGAATGTGCTTTATAGTATCACTCATGAGTTCAAAATAGCTTCATTCGAATGAGATTGATCGCTCTCACTATTTTCAATTGATACATCATCATTTTTACTGAAAAAATAATAATCAAATTTACATAAAATCTATAAAATTATTTTCTCTTGTATAATTATTTGTTAATGATGGAAATCAATGGCAATTAAATATTGACTATACCTCAAATCTTCAAAAATAATATCTGGCAAAGGATTTTCTTCCCTTGGCAATTCTTCGCTCAACTTATTTTCTTCATTCTCCATATTATGGCTTTCAGTAACGTTTTGAATATCTTCTGCATTTTCAATATTTGTATCACCGTTAGATAAATAAATTTAATTAAGTTCATTTTATTACATTCCAATTGTTAACTTATTTCCTTAATTTATATTGTAGTATATAAAATTGAAATGAGAATAAAAATAATTACCTGCTATGGCCAATAATGATGAAGCGCCAAATTGGCCAAAATTAGAGTCAAAATCAGCAAAGTTATCTGAACTAAAATCAGCCCATTCTGTTCCATCTTGTATCTTATCAAATTCGTCACTTGAAGATGCTACAGAAAGTTTTTCATCGTTGTTACTCCAAGCTGTAAAAACAATCATATAATCACTAACATTATTAAAATAAAATTATTATTCCACAACTTCATATCAAATATAATGCATATTTCAAAGCTAAGCATTCTAATTCAGAAATTCAAAAAATTATTAGTCATTCACGATTTTATTATAGAATATTCCTGCGTGTTTGTTGGAGCCAATAATTTATATAAAATATCTTAGATAATTACTCAAATTCTCTAATGAATTTCTAATCCAAAATCATAGAAAAATTTAATGTATTTTATTTAATAACATTAATGGTCATTATGTATATTAAAATAAACATGTTTATCTAATAAATTTATCTATTAAGTATGAAGCAGTAGTATTAAAAAAGTACTCACGATCATCATTTGATTTTAAGCAGAAGTCATCAGAATCTGCATTTATTTGCCACTCATCATTTGGATTACTATCATTATAAACAGAATCCATATTCAAACCATTTATAAATACATCCAACTAAAATTCATGTGAAAATCTTAGTATATAAAAATTAAATCAAACAGAATATAAAATTTTAAATATATTAAATAACCTGTAGTTCCTCTGATAAATCATGACTTTTACAATGTACAGGGTGTACTCCACCTAATAAAACATTCTGTGTTTCTGTAATATCCTTCAAGGGTCCGGAGACAAATGCATTCCATGATTCTTGAACTGCAATATCTTCTGACAAAACACTTTTAATGAAGTCTTTCAATTCTTCATTAGTGACCGAGTCAATATGGTTTATTATTTTAATTATGTGACCCATATATCCCTTCCGAACTCCATCTCCTTGAGCCCTATTAATAAACAAATTGTATATTATTTTTCTACATTGATCAATTTATTGATTATTTTTTCATACTGTTGATCATTATTATTATTCCATTCTTCTAGCATTCGTTGAATTATTTTGCCTTCAACAAATAATCTCTTTTGAAGATTTGTCAATTCAGAATTATTTTGAAGTAAAATACTTGCAATAGATTTTTCAACATATCCATGCAAAAAGTTATTCCAGGAATATTTAAAAAATAAATCGATAAGTGTTTCCATAACACCGAGTTCTGCTAATTTATCACAAAATGTAGGCACATAATTTTCAGCAAGCAAAATACTAATAAATCTTGCAATTTGTAATCTTGCATTACCCAATGGTATCTCTAAATATCCAGCTGTAGTTTTAATAGAGTTTTGCTGAAAATAATTAAATGTATATTAAATGTAAATATTAAATTTAATATATCACAAACATGCTTCAAAATACATCATTTGAAAAACTGGATAAAAATTATTTAATGCAACAAACTACACATTTAAAATATGGCAAAATTATTCAATGCAAATTACCTTTGGAGGATTGATCAATATATCATGAAAGTCCTTCAAATAAGGCAATAAGGCTTCAAATAATTCCTTTTGATGAGCACTATCATATGATTTATCCTTTTTTGTGTTATTATCAATATTATACTGTATAGCACATCTAAAGTTGTCATTAATTCATCAAACAGATCAAATTGACTTGCAATAGTAGTAATAAAATTAATGTTATGCAACAAACCTTTCATGTTGGTCTAATAATACCAATAAAAATTGTATTCCACCTACAATGCTACTTTCCATCATGGGGGGTTCTAAAATATTCTGTAATATAAGGCTAATTGTTTCAGGCGTCTCTAATTTAGACAGAATACAATTTGTATCGGCATGTTCTGCCACGGCATCTCTATCGGCTCGAACAACATCACATAAAAGTTGAGAAACGTTACAATGTACATCACAACCATGTTCTGGTTTCAAAAGATCCGCCAAACATGTCACAATGTTCTCATTTATCAACCACTACAAAATATTTTATTATACAAACACACACATTATTAATATGTATATGTATGTGTTATTCTGTCCTACACAGAACATGTTTCTAAACTCACATTGATTACACTTGTCCGCATGTCATTTCCCTCAACTTGACTAATTAATTTGAAAACCAAATCCATCATAGCCGGAGTGCCTAGGTGTTTTAATAGTGTCGAAACACAATCCAGTTGAGATTTCAAAAATTCAACAACTTGAAGGCATGAAAATTGATACGAGTACCAATTCTAAGATATATAAGATAATGAATGACAATGACAAAAATTTTAGTAGTCAAGTATAGTTTTATGCATAAATATATGCAATGATAAAGTCGTTCATACCTGTTCATTATGCCTAGTAATGAGCATTGCTAATGTTTTACTAAAAAAAGAGCATAATAAAGGATTCAAAGGAGGCTCCTGCTTTACGAAAGAGTACAAGGTTTCCATTAAAGTGCCATCAGCAGATAATCTCTCATTTAAAGCTGGTAAGTCACACGTAAGAATTTCACAAGCTATGTTTGAAAGCCTATAGCGATAATTTTCCTCAACCTCCGGATCTGGTTCAGTTATTATTAACCTTACAAGTTGTTCCAAAACGTTTGGTCTTAACAAGCTGCAAAACAATTTTATTTTATTTAATTTTTAAAATCACCAGTAAAATGAAAACTTACAATTCAATTAGCTTTTTATTTTGGGCTTTGCATTCTTGAAGGATATCTTCCTCCTCCATAAGCTCCGATAATGTAATATCCTATAATTTGAAATTAAAACGTTTGTATTTACTGAATAGTATTAGTAACCTAATTTTGGTTAAGATCCTCACCTCTTTTTCCAAGAGCAGTTCAATCTGAGGCGATACAGCATAATTGTATTTCCAAAACATGATTAATATATTCTGAAAATGATTGTAAAAAGAACTTAGAATCGGTTATCAATCAGAAAAGTTGTGCAATATATTTTAGAAATACCTTTGTTACCTACTGAGCATTTATGCTTGTTAACAAAGCAATTATCGTGAACACTTATTTAACTATCAACAAGGAATTACAAGCCTTATAGAAGCTTGGTTAACATACATAATATTGCGTTTACAACGGTTATGATATTATGATTAAATTTCATTTATATTATCATGTATCTGACGTTTTGATTCGTCGTATTCACTCATGTTGAATAATGACAATGACATAATGACCAATTGACATTGTAGAGAATGAAGCTGTCAACTGCAACAGCGCACACTCGCGCACACTGGTGCACACGCACACCCCTCGCACCATAGATAAACCTCGCACACCGCACAGAGCTGACACCGCAAGGCCATGGCAAGGCCCGCCATAGATAAACAAGCGCTGGCCTGCGCTGTCTGTATCTAGCGAATGCGGTGGCGGTGAAAGTAATTTGATTTGATCCATGTTTGATTATTTTGATTACAAAATATGCGATAATAAAAGGATGTACTACTACATATGGACATATACACACAGCTAATTGAATATGTTACATCCATTTTAATTTACGAATTGATCGAAATATGGCAGCACGTGTACAGCATGTAAATTAACTGCTGCTATTTTTTCGTATTCGTATTCGCGGTTCGTATTTTTAATACAGTATAAGAAAACCTAAATAATTTCTTATACTAGAAATGATCATTTCTCTCGAGAGTCATGGATATTCATGCTTTTCACTCGAATCAAACGTGTCAGAAAAATACACATTTTACCATTCAAAATTACATATCAAAAAGTCATGAATATATATCCATGTTTTTTTCCCTCAAATCAAAACATGTCAAAACATCCACATTTTTCCCACATCCACAATTTTTTGCTTGCGTAATATGTTATGTTTTTGCTTGATTATCTTCGCATTTTATAACAAACAAAAAATGTTTTATCATTTAATAAATTAATCAGTATTAAATGTGTTTAGAAATCAATTTCACAAAGATTTTCTGGTTGTTTTAGAAGTTTATCAAAAAACAATGAATATACTGAAGATGAATGATTTTTATTCAATGGATCATCTGTATTCACAAATATTTTGTATAATATAATATTCATACAGATTTTTTTTTAAATATTACAGAATGCATTCGATATAAAATGCATTACATTTTCAAAATATCTGGTTGATTTTTTCGTGAATTTATATATTAATATTACAACTGTTACATATGCTGCACATCCCTAGTAAAAAGGGTGCTTTGAATGTACATAAATGGTATGTAATTTGCATTTACCGCCATTTTCTTAGTCTATATTTACACTCCACATATATTTTAGGTATGAATATAGCTCAAATATAAATCAAAACTCAATAATTATATATATCTTACACATATAATTAGTATTACTATTTCGTTTCTTAAATTACACTACAAGTTAATACAAAAATTAGTTATCCCCAATATAAGTTTCATTTATAATATTCATTTTAAGTAAATGTTTTTAAATGATCACCAGATTTCAACAACTTTTGTTACGCCAAACTAGTAAAAAATACATGCATATAAGAGTGCACGTACTTGTCGATAATGGGCAATCTAAATAGATTGATACATGGGTCTTATTACGAGTCTATTGACTCGTTAATTAATTTTAAAATATATGATAAAAATATTGAACTTCAAACCTTAAAGTTATATAAATAACTGATTTATTTTGTATAGTATCTGTTAGAGATCATTGAACTAAATCACACTTATGGCACTGTAGACATTTGGTAAAAAAATACAATATAATGTGCAATAAATATTTAAAAAAAATTTCTTAAAAAATTGATTTTAAAAGCTTATTGAAATACACATGCACTCATTATGAAATCAACATACATACCCAATTTAGTACCGTTCATTCTTACACATAGTTTTTTTTTAAATTTTTGCCTTTTGTAATAAAATACTTATGTAGAACTAATAATTAGGGCTTTTGGACAATTATATATAAAGTTCTTATAAAATTTCCTCATAGATGGTAGATGAGTTGTTTTCATTTGAACTGAAAATCAGGTGAGATATAAATTTACAAACGACTGACATATTTGTTCATATATATCTACTATTAGTTTGCCAAGCAGAATTGATTGCTTATAAATATTGATAGATGATTGACATAGATATATATCCGCAAATAAAAAGAATACTATGAATGATCAAGATTCTTCATACACACATTAGTCAAAAATTAGAGTACAAAAAAATGTTAATAATTGGAATACAAACAATGTTTTATATATTAATCTCATATTCAGATTTGAATTTACAAAAAATTAGAAGTAAATGGATATCAACATAACTTGCATTGGACCCATAGTTTATAATATCTTATAAAACCTAAATTTTAGGGCAGAAACTTGAATGTATAAAAGAATACGCTTAATAACAAGGATTGATACAAAAACCAAATTGTTTTCAATAGAAAACAATATGTCAATAAAATAATAATAACAAATAATTTAATTAAATTATTGAATATTATATTAAAAATCAATATTTGTAGAATATTTTTGTCTAAATATGTTCTCATATGCTGAATTGATATGAAAACATTTATGAATTATATATATTTTCAATAACTGCTGATGAACACATTAAATCATATTACCATACAAGTAAAGCACATCCAAATCTTTTGGAGGTTTGGAGTAGTTTTCTTTGAGAAAAAAATCAATTGTGTATTAATTTTTCCGTCAAGAATAGTCGAGTACAACTCTTATATATAATTCAAATATTAATAATATGGTTATTATTGTAATAATATTCAATTTTCTGCGTTTTTTCTTCTAAATCAAACGGTTTCCACCAAAATTTCTAGAATTAACTTTGATGTAAAAAAACGTGATTTTTTTTTAAAAATATGTAAACCGAAGTAGCAGCAAAGCTGCTAAAATCGATCAAACTCTATATCTCAAAGTTAATTAGTTCTAAGCGGAATAACATTAATTTTAATTTAAAAATAGTATTTATGAAACGGATTGATTTAAAAGAAAAAATACAAAAAAATAATAATATAGATATTGAATTATTTAACAGCTGCGCTTATAACTATATTCTTAACACGATAATTAATACATTGATCTTTTTTCTTTAAAGAATTTTTTTCCCTTAAAAACTTATTTCCTTATATAAGTAGCGTACATACAAATAATAATAATTATTTCTTCCCTCTGAAATGTGTCTGATTTTGAATGATACGAAAAAACTAATAAAAAATACAAAAACAAAAAACCCTTTATTGGCTCGGCTATTAATTGATAAATTCGTATTAAAAAATTAATTAACGCATAAACCTAAAAATGTTCCAATCATTCAAATTTTGAAATTTCAATATAAAACGTTTAGTAAAGTACGATTTTAGAACGCAGCTGGAGGATTTACAGTTGATATATAATTGTAGAGTGACTTAATTTTTTAAAAGAAGTGATAAATTTAAAAAGATACTTATTTACATAATTTTGTCAATATCTCCACGAAAATCCTTAAATCACTCATTCATTCACATATAATTTTTATATAATATCACACAAAGCAAATACGAGATATGACTATATATTTAATCATCTAGAAAGATTATCACTGGCTCAAAATATAGTTCGTTGCTATCTGTTAAGTTAATAATTAAATACAATATAATCACCAATGATTCTTCAAAATAAAGTCAACAGAATAAAGATGAAAATAAAACATATTCGAGAAGAAGATCGGGAAATGGTCGCTTCGTTATATTGGGTCACTCCTAAGCCGCGCATCTCCGAATCTGCAGAAATAGGAAGAAAAATGTGAAAACACTTTGTAATAATAATAATAACAATATTAAATGTATTACACCCATGTCCATATATATATATACATATATATATATATATATATATATATATATATATATATATATACAGGACCGATCCTGCGGTCCTCAGCGCCATTTATTTCTAGCGTCCCCCTATCTCTTATTATGACCATTAACGTAATTTTTTTAAATACTTTTTAATAATTCTGGATTTCATTCACAACTAAAATATGATATGGATATAATCTAAAAATGCATAAAATACATTGATTTTAAATTCATTTAGAAGATCGAGGCGATTCGCGGGGCTCATAATCAGATTGTTGTGTCTATCGATGTCGCACTACCGAACTATTTTTATTTTCTTATTTTCAAGTCCGAAAACATCCAAAAATTTCAGTATTTTCATTATTGCTTGCAGGAATATTTTTAAATTTTCAATTATTTCTAACGCATGTTTAATATTAATATTTGGTTTTAGAAACATTTTACCTATTTATTTTGCGCATTTTATGCCAATTATTCTATTAAGAGAGCAAAAAAATCAAGCCTATCATTATTAAACCTAATACAGGCATACTTCATGTTAAATTAGCTTAATTTAATTTTTCATTATTTAAAATATCAAAAATTATATCGTAAACTTCGTAAATAATTGTTATCGCAAGAGCCGAATTGTATGTTCATCTTTACTTTTCCCATCGTGTATCAGATTATTGTTTTAATGTTAAATTTTTACGTATTTTAAAATTATTGTATGATTAATAAAAGATGCAAAATTATATAATTCTTGAACGATATTGAAAAAACTATATTATAATTTTCATATCCGAATCTAGTGTTGGCGCCCCCTAAGACGTGCGCCCGCATTTTTCACATACTTCACATTTAAGGTAGGACCGGCTCTGTATATTATATTATATATATATATATATATATATATATATATATATAATTAGGTTTGGTCAATGACATATGAGTCTATATAAGCACATGCATATACATACTCAAACACTTAAATTTCTGTTTTCGATTATCTGTTATATGTTTTTGGTTTTCCCTGGATTGGTTTGAATAATTATTTTTCATGTGGTTTCGTATGTTTAAATTATTTATTACTTAATAATTTTTTGAATTCATATTTTAATATTTTTTTAAAAAATGTATTCCTTGTGAAAAACGAATGTTTGTGTGTTAGATTTACTAAATGATGATACATCAAATGTATATTTTGACAAATTGGCTGATAATATATATATATATATATATATATATATATATGTCATGTTTTAGGCCTAAAGCTACAGAAACTAATAAAAACTAAAACAATTTGGGAATGTATAGGCTGATTACAAATACAAATGCGATATTACATATCAAAGTCAAAACGGATCTAGCGCAGTAGAAATTTCAAGTTTATTTTTGCTAAATAAAACTCTGCCTATTATTTGAATGAATAAATTGTTTGAAATTTCAGCAAAACATCACAAATAGCCGTGATGTTTCTTCTCCAACTCGACTGACCTGAATAAACAGCGGTTTGGGGGGTGTAATCTGGGTAAACGGCATCTGCGGTTAGGCGGTGCATAGAATGAAACAGAAAAGCAATCAAAAAACAGAAATACTTTGTTGGTTGTAAATATGAAAATTACGTGAAAACTAACAAACATAAAATACATATATGATATATGCAAATTCTACTGAAGTAAATGTGGATGCATTTAGAGGAATACAGTCAACCCTCCGATGACGTGGTGAGTGCAAATCACATCGTTTGTACCGCGTTATATGTAGACCATTTATTACAAAAATCCAACAAAAAAATTTCGAGTAGATTTTGTTTATCTCTTCGAAAGCGTTGTTGAATATAAACCGAAAAAAGTCGCAATTTCAGCTCCATGTAGTATGGAAACAGCGTTCCCGGAATACCGCGTTATAGGAGTGTTGACTATACTGTTATCAGAACACGGCTGTATTAAAGGTTGATACATTCCTTTTATCCCGCATGTACTTATAATCATTAATAATGTTATAAATATTTTTCAAATGAAACGTATTAAAATGAAATAAAAATACTAAAAGAAATGTTATTTTTGATTTAGAGATTGAGGCTTTTTTTTAAATCGATAAGTAATAATATATAATTACACGGGTATTCCACGTACAAGTCGATTATGAAATTTATAAATTGGATATATTTTCATGAGATACTGATGAATTTATTAACAAAAAAAATAATACATTAGTTTATTTATACAAAATATGCAACTGATATGTAGATTCTAAAATACCGAAATATTCAATTTTTTCTAATGAATTGTAAATTTTAGAACGCAACTAAATGGATAATTTACGATTTATTATTATCATTTATCATTTATTATTATTATAATTATATATCATTATTATTTTCATAAATATTCTACGTAGAAAACTATTACTTAAATTTAGCGAATTTAGACTATAAAACTCATTTAGCGAAATCAAAGTATTGTTTCTTTTTTATAATTGTATATATATATATATATATATATATATATATATATATATATATTAATTTAGAGCAAATTTTAATGTAGAAGGGTTTATAGCAGTCCTTAATTTTTACATTAAATGATTACCATCATGTTCTAAATATTCTTATTATTATGAAATTATTATCTTCTTATTATTACTATTATTTTACTAAAATCATTTATATATAACGATGTTAAAATATTGTTAACTGTTTATAATTTAAAAAATAATTTGAAGTATGTACCTACGTAAAATTATTTTATAGAAGTAACTTTTAGTCGTCGAATGTATCAAAGACAATATAATAGGATAAAAGATATGACATATTGCTTATTAATGTTATCATTCAAATACATGTTGCTACAAAATAATAAATATTGTGTGAATGGTGTACGAACACATACGAAAACAAGTAAAATTTAATATATAAAAAGATTGCGATTATAGTCGCGGAATACAGATAATAATTAATATTAGATAATAGATATATAGCTCATTATTGTTAGTACGATAATATATCGCTACAAAATAATAAACATTTTATAACTATATACGAAAACATGCAACTACTTTCAAAAGTGCTAAAAAATATTGAATACATTAACTGTTAATAGTGACTGATTGATAGAGTTGTAAAAATAATTGATGAATCTTTCTATTAGTGTTACTAATGTATTTATCTCACCGTTGCTACTCGTGGTGAATGTGAACTTCTTCGAGGCGAGACTCCATCCGTATCGGTTTCGGCTCTGGACCTGCGCCTCGTACTGGGCATCAGGCTGCAGGCCGCGGATGACGTAGCTCATGGACTGCGTGTAAGCCTGGCTCAGCGGCATCGCCGGCAGGACGACGTCGCGCCACTCGTTCCGGCCCCAGCCGGACGAATGCGAACCGATCATGTAGCCGTTGTAGCCGTGCAAGAGATGAGTGTCGTTCTCCTAATACCATATCAATATTTAACACTTACAATTATACAATAATAACAATTCTAACTGATTGGCCATTATTCAATGTTCAACATTTTCAAAGCTTTGAAAATAAATCACTATTTCTTTACCCTTCGCATAGGCCTCCGCCCATGTTGTTGACTTTGGTGTTGCAAAGGCTGTAATTGCTCTCCTGCAAGATCTCCTGGTAAAACGCCTGAATCGCCTAAAATTCCTTGAGTAGGAAGACGTCGAAAAAATAATTTAAATTCCTCAACTGGGGCATGAGAATCTACCGCCCAGGATATGTTGTATCTATCGCGCCATTGACTCGTAGGCCCGGATTGGAATACTGCTACTTTTGGTCGACCTGAATAAGTAACAGATTTGATCAAATAAATTAAAAATAATCTAGTAATCATAATGGACACAGTATTTTTTTGTGAATAACATAATTACTGTTTTTATAAGAATTTATTTCATCTCGTTACCTGTTAAAGTGACTGTTTTTCGACTTTTTCCAAGTTGATTATCGGCTACACACGTGTAGTTTCCGAAATCTGAACTCTGAACTTTTCTGATGAATAAGGTGTGTTTAGCACCACGTGTTTCCGTGATTCGTCTTTCTGTCGTATCCAAAAGAAGAGTATCGCGATACCACAGAACCTTTAAAATAAAAAATAGTCACATAAAACATATTTATATAATAAAAATTTTAAATGAAAATCATTGTGTACTAAACTGATTCTTAAAAAATGTTTATTTGTCTTTGTGACAATATCATTTTTGAAACATTTATAATAGTATTATTTATATTAGTAAAAGAAAGACAAATATAGATCTGATAATATATAATTAGTAATAATTAATATAATAACATAATTACCTCAGGTTGGGCTTCTCCATAGACGATGCAAACTAATTGAGCTTCTTGTCCCTCGCCTGAATAAACTATTTGTCGTTCGACAACGATCTCTGGAGGATCTATAAATAAATAATATATCACGCATATCAGTTTAATGATCAGTTTAATTATTTTGATTAAAAAATATTCGTAAATACAAAATAAGCATTTCAAAATAACGTGGCAAGTTTAACGAAATTTAAATTTAAATAGAATTGAACTATGAACTTCGAATCATCTGATGTCAAGACGCAGTGATATCGGGTTTCTATTAAAAATTTAGATGCGGATAAGTTTCAAAGTGAAAATAGTGTTTCCACAGCATTGCTGTATCAATAAACAAATAATTGTAATAGTAAATTCATCATATACAAAAAGTCGTAAAAGCGGTCGTTTAAGAAACCAGCATAGCAGCTCATAGGATTCATTAAAGTCTGATAGTTGATAAAATATATAGAAAATTAAAAAAAAAAAAATTCATCGGAATTAAAAATGTAACAATCAATTATCGTAGAACTGTTGATGCTCATCCATTATCGGGCAACAGCATTTTCTAGTGTACCTTATAAATTTAACAAAATAAACAGTAGCGAGGCAGACGGCAAATCGGAATACTCGACGGGGCGCAATGTTTTGCTCGTTTTAAAATGTCACTGGAAATTGATTTTATTGCCGCACGCCATGGAAAATATTCACTGCACTTAAACTTACATACAACTATGACAAAACGCCATCGGAAACACAGTTTTAAATTATACAAATTGTTCAGTTTGTACAGTAAGTGTATATGTTGATTATTATTATTGGAGCAATTTTTATAACATTTAAAAACACTGGATTGTATAAATAGTCCAATAAGTCTAAAATCCAATTGTAAATCATTGTTCTATCATGCAGTTGAGGATATCTCAAGTTAGCAAAACAAAAGTATTATTATTCTATGTATTTACAAAATATTTTAATTAGAAGAAGAATATAATTTCCATGACGATATATTCAAACACCTGGCAGATCTCTTACAATAAACATTGTCGTATAAAACATAATAGAATTTTCATTTTGGTGAAGTCATCTGACGTGAATGTATTGGCCACAATATCCGTAGAATATCCGCCGCTGTCAATTTCTCTTTTGAGCCCGATCTGCGTAATACAAAATTTATTCTTGTTCTTTTCGCATAAACTGCGAGATGCTCGAGTTGCCGAGATGCCGTTTAAATGATATTCTGACGGCGGCATTACCATATGACATACGGCACTTTTTCCCAAAGGTGAGGAAAAGCTTTAAGCGCTGAATTATCGAGGGAATGACGACAAAGATTGGTTTAGGAACGGAACTTTCCCTGCGAACCTTTATTGCATTTTGGAAGCAGATCGTATTGATCAATTGATAATTCAATAATTGATATCATAATATAATAATAATAATAATTAATAATAATGCGTTGTCGCCAGAATTGAGTCATCACGTATTTTTTGGTCAACAACAGAGATAAGTTTATTATGGGTGGCTAAGAAAAGAATTAAATAAATTCAATGAAAAATTATGTATTTAAAAGTGAGATTTTAAATTCTTGCTATGGAATGAAACGGATATTCTAACATTTAGTTGTATAGTATCAAAGTATCAATCGGTCAGATCACATGATAAAATAATAGTTATTGAAACCTAGTATATCTACTTGTTCTTTTAATTTGATCGTTCATTTTAATTTTTACGACACGTTAATTAATAAATATGCAATTATAAATATTATATTGTATCGGATTGCCACTGGTTTTGAATGTACAAGTTCCTTTATCATTAAAATCGTCATTTTTGAATATTTCGCGAAAAATTAAATGCAGGATATAAATCAATAAATATCGAAGTGCAATATATCAATTGCATGCTGATGTACGTTCAGTCGGTGGCACGGGCAGAATTTTTCTCTTGTTCACTACATTGCAATGACCGTAAAAACACATTTTCCATCGGATCGCGTCTGTATGTTGCAATTTTCGATAGAACTTTTTTTTGCTTCTCTCCCTATAATCCAATCTGGTCCATGGCAATTCGTTACATGCCCTGACATTGATTCATAACCTTTTGTCTTTAACAAATGTACGAGGACTATAGTTCATGAAGCAGTAGTTGGACGATAGTTTTGTATGATTTCTTATGTGATATTTGTATAACAATATTCAATATATTATATAAAATTAGATATGATTAAATTATCAAATATATAATCAGATTTCGTTTACAAAGACTGCTTTATCAAGACAAAAAATATCACTCACAAATAAGATATTAATTAATCAATTTTTTCAACCCTCATTACTACCCGATTTTTATAAATTTGTTTCCCCAACAGTGAAGGCGGTTAGCTGTATTTTTAGCGTAATTTATTCAGTAAATATATTGATCAATCATTCATCTTACATAACTTATAATTTAGAAGGTACTTACATAAAACATGAAGAACAATTTGCTGTGTGACAGGTTGGCCGACGCCGTTGCTCGCTGTGCATAAATAAACTCCGCCCTGATGTCGGTCCATTTTATCGAAATTCAAGGTAGGAGATTGCTGAGTTTCTTCACCTGGAAAAAATATTTTATTTAAAGCTTAATTAACCAGTAACATCACAACAGTGTGTAGACACAAAATATATTGTAAGACTGAAGTTCTGATTGTTCAAATAAACAAATAAAAATATATAAAAATTCAGGCGCCTCAATAAACATAGATCTCATAAATATTAATCTTTGTAAATAAGTAATTCGTAAACGTATTAATCGTTTTTAATTCAGTTCAGGGACACTTTGTTGACGCCGTTCTGAGCCTAAAGTGGAATATTTAAACCAAATTCCATTACCTCATATTAGCTATGAAGGCTGCGATTTGTATCAATTAAATTCTCTCTCTAGCACAACTTCTAATCATATAAATTACCGGCACATAATAATTCTGAACACATTGTGTGTGATTGCGGTACCTCGGGATGCATATTCAAAGAATCCTCCTCTGTCTTGAGCAAAAGCTCGCATTTCTCATGTACATACTCGGCATGCTAAACTGGCTTTTGATGAATATTGCGCTTATAAAGGGTTAATTACAATGCATTTTGATTTGATTAATATAGAAGTGCATTTAATTTGATATGAATTGCAAACGGGTCCCGTGTTGCATTGTTTGAATTGCACCAGGGCGCTGTTCTGTGTATATTATTAAGAATTTATTCTGGGAACTAATGATATACAAATATAGGTATAATGTCATATTTTCCGACTATAAATCACTAACAACAACAATAAATATTATTATTCAGTATATAAATTCAAATCAGAATTCAGATCACTTCAGAAACGAATGCAATTGCATAAATAAAAATATAAAAATGATTAAATTAATATATTGATTACCTGATGGAAGTAGATTATTTTTCCTGCTCCAAGTGATGACAGGCGGTGGATTACCCGAAGCTGCGCATTCTAACCTGACTGGTGAACCCATTTTCACTTGAAGACGTCCGTTAGATGTAACGTGATGTATTCGAGGCGGAACTGAAATCAAAAATATCAAACGTTGCAACTTTAATTCTGCTATACTGGTAAAATGAATATTTGTCCTCACAACAAGTATTATGATTAAACTAAATGACATGTAATGAATTATATATTTTTTTGAAATAATTTTCATTAAAACTATGTGTGTGATATAATCATATAGTGCACAAAGTATTTTATATATACAACAGTTCATTGAACTCCGGGTGAATAAGGGCTTGTAAACATGATATATGACAAAATGTTAGCTAATAAAGTATGCATCGGCAGATATTTTGCGCATAACCGTACTGCTACGTTGCATATTGAGTGGAGAAACGCTACGGTTGCTTGGTCATTTATAAAACATTAGGAACGTACACACAGAACCCATTATGAACGGAGATTGAACTATGTTCAATCAATTTGATTGAGCATTGCCAGTAGGTATATCATAGCAAGTTCTGTAGCCTGCATGCTTTTGTCCTTCCCGACGGTAAATAGCGAAGCGGACAGGTAGTTGTACGAGTGACGCCGACATTACAGAAACCGAGTTTAGTAAAACGTAAGGCGACAAATTGTAATGTCAAAGTTTTCTTTTATCACTTATTTTAGTGCTAGTTAAAATTCTACAGCTTATACGCTCAGATTCTATGACAATTTTTTTTTTTGAAAAAAAAGACATAATATCTTAGACTTGTATCAAGTAAATAGATCAATTACCCATAATTTCGACAGTATGTGTGATCTCCCTCGGCTCAAATGTTCCAATTTGGCACACATAGTCTCCAGCATCTTGAGGTCCAGCATCGCGGATTTCTAAACTGTAACCTTCGACAAGCCGAAGGCGAGGGTCAGGGCTCACTTTTACGGTTCCCGCGGTCAGCACGGCGATACCTCGCTTCCACGCCAAGACATAAGAACCTGCAAAAAATTAACACTTTTTTGTAATATACTTAATAAAAACTATTGTTGCAAAAGTGTTGTTTTATGTAACAGTAGATTAATAAGCTGTCAAATTATTAGTAGTAAATTAGTTATAATAGAATAAGAATAAACCATTTGACTTGTACCAGCTATTTTATTTATTTTATTGATAAATATACCAAAAACGCTCATAAAAAAGCGCTTATATGCTTGCTGTGATCTTACAATCATACATATTTCAATATAAAGATTAATCAATCATTGGTGTAGAATCATTGTATTCATTCCGAATGATATTGCAATAAGTACTAAAACTATAAGATATTTTATATTCGGTCCGTGTGTTATAATAATACATTTCATGTTTTTCTACAAAATCGATATTACGAACAAAATTCCAAACATAGCTCAATTTATATTATGATTGAAGTTTTACATTGTACTTTTAATGCGAATTTTATTTATTCGGATACAGCAATTAAATTGAGATACATTCTACATACATTTTCACATAAAATTATATATATATATAATAATTCAAATCATATGTCATCTAGCAAGCAGATCATTCTCAAATAATATTTTACGAATCATTATTATTCAACGTCAAAATTTTTTACAAGTTAAATTAATTCGTCAATATGATTAAGAATATTATGAAACTGTGGATAAACTCGGCTAAATATTATCTCAGAATAATTTACAACAAAAGAAAAGTTGTTAGTTGTGCGATATTGGGCATTCTTGCAACACCTGTAATATTTTACGCATACAGGTATATGAAATAAAAACTCTTTTATTATTACATTTATTAGAAATATGATTTATCATCAGAAATAGTTTTCCGCCCATTCAAGCTGAGCGCTTGTTGTACGACCCGCACCGGGCGGCTTTTATATTAGAAGATGTGGAATACATCGATGGACCCCAAAGTAAAAATCCAGAAATCAATCTAACATCTCGTGAGAAGCGGTTCATAACATTTGCTTCCGTCGAATATGACCGCCAGCTATTTATGACCCCAGAAGATTTTCTCGGTAATTTTTCTCTTACACTTACGTATATTATGCTCAACCAAACAATAATATTTATTTGCTTATAGATTCCATGATGTACACAACCCCACGTCCACGTATCAGCCGAGCAATATTGACGAAAGAATATGTAGATGAGATAATAAGTAGCACTCCGCCATTATCTAAGAATTCTGATAAATTATTTCGTGATTTGAGAGAAAGGGGACTTATCAGTTACACTGAATTTTTATTTCTGCTATCGGCCATGACTCAACCAGAAAGCGCCTCTCATAATTCTTTCGCAATGCTGGATAGAAAATACAATAACGTACTAACCAAAGGTATGAACCGTCAATTTTATGTGTGTATAATGTAATCACAGCATGCATAAAACGTTCTTAATTCTCCATTTAAAATAATAGCTACAGAAATGAAATAATTGTTCTAGTCTATTAAAATTCGATCCTATCAAATTTTAAGAAGCTGTGTCGTTATATCCAATCAATATTATACGGACAAAGATATTATAGACTAAATCGTAGCACACGATTCTAATAAAATTACAAATTGGTCTTCAATTTTTAGAGGAATTTGATGAAATGGACAAAGTGCTGAGCGTTGCGATACGTGCCAGAAGAATAAAAAATGCCCTCGCATCATACAATGAAAGAAAAGAATCAAAATCAAAATCAAACAAAAAAATCAAATGCTACGAAAATTTTGAATACGACCCGTCGCACCATACTACGGAAGAGATGCGCGTAGACGACTCGATGGGTCTGCAGCGCCGACACGATATTTCGACAACTCTGCAAACCCATTTGTTCGGCCTGGATGGAAGGGGAATGGTAACATACCAACAGCTCACGACGTTCATTAATAATTTAAGACGCGAAATTTTGGACATGGAGTTTCAATCGTTCGCCCGCGGCAAGAACACAATAAGCGAAGTGACGTTCGCCAGAGCTCTGCTGCAGCATACATATTTGAACGAGGAGACCGTCGAGGAGTACGTACGTAATATGCAGCTGCGTCTGAAACCAATCGAGCAGGGTATTACGTTTCAGGAGTATTACGATTTTTTCTATTTCCTGAATAACTTGGAGGACTTCAAGATAGCGATTCGATTCTACATTCTGGCGGACGTGCCCATAAGTAAGCAGGAGTTCATAAGAGGTGTTAAAATCTGTACTGGAACAATGCTGACCCGGCACGTTGTCAATGTCATTTTTAATCTCTTCGATTTGGACGGCGACGGATGTTTGAACTATAAAGAGTTCATAGCGGTTATGAGAGATAGATATCAGCGGGGGATACGGCAAGCGCGCGATTTTCGGGGATGGGTCGCCTTCAAAAATTGTGTACGCAGGGAACTGAGATCGGCGGCTGCTTATAATCATTAAATTATATATCAAAACTTAACAATAGTAATACATATCATAATTAATGCTATGTCAAATATTGTCTTCTATTTTTAATATGATCATAATACTAATTATCGGTTTACTCGAACATTAATTAAGTCCGTTGTCTAACACATCCATCATAGTCTAAATAACAGGATTTACTAAGTGACGATAAACCCACTCGAAGTGCGACATTTATATTTTTACTTTCTATAATTTAAAAATTATAGTGTGCAGAAATGGTCGTGTTTTTCACATATGCTCATTATATATACTTTTGTTGTGCAAACTCGTTACAAGTACTAGCGCGATATTGTTCAACACATGCAATTATGCAAATGAACCACAAAGCCAGTAATTTGCCCGGAGATTATTATTATACAACCGGCGAACGGTATACTATGGGGATATTACATGATATTATACATTAAAATATGTTGTATAACCTTGCGCCTTATCGATAATTGTTCTTAGAAAATCGTTTAGGTACTTATTAGTATTAAAATTTGATTAAGTATAATAAAGTAAGTTTTAATCCTCACAAATTTAAAAATAGTTGACACTATAGAAAGGTTCTATAGGTAAATATGAATACAAGATTGAATTCAACGTGAATTACATGCAAAGATGTTGTATCGTATGCGGGCTACGACGCAAAGAAAAGATTCAGCACGTAGAATATTTTCATTCTTTGACAAGTATATCAGTTGACCTCTCATGGTGCACTATGGCATATCAGAGCTTTGAAAAGCTTCATATATTCTCGTAGCTTTTTATATCTCGCAAATATCCCGTCACGATGCAGCTCGCCTGGCTGCACGGCTGCACGGCTGCACGGCTGCACGTCACATAGCTCGGCTGCCGCATCCCGCATCATGTCTCGTAGCTTACATCTGTGCCTACGCGGATTCTACGTAGGCATTTGAGCGCATTATACAAATCTTTTCATAAATACACAGGAATATGTTTCGGAATTCTGAATTTTTCAAAACGGTTTAACAAAGAACGAAATCAACAGTCAATTTTTATTTCTAAAAACTTTAACTAATTTCTAACTAGGCGTTAGGAGCATTTTGGTTGAAGGCGCTTTGCATTAAGTTTCTGTAGAGCGTACACGATCTAATTATTTAAATTTAGATAAATAATTTAAATACTGTTTTATTTCTGCAACACCCATTGTCAAACCCTCTAGCATATAATTCAAAAATCCATGTAGTAGTGAGGGCACAACTATTCTATTCGGCTCTTTGTGGTTTAGTGGTTTCTGGTCAATGCAAGTAGTGCTTCAACTTGGTTTGAAGTAAAGTCAAGACGAACTCTTGTTCGTTGCTCGGTCCCTAACTCTTATCAGCGCCTAGTGTCGTCTCAGAAACGATCCTAGGAGATGCCGAACCGAACAAAAGCGGCATTTGCTTAAGAGCCCCCGATTAGCATATTCAATGAACTCGAAACCATGCCGTGTGTGGCTCTTCAAGCCGCACTTGCTCCTTTGTGTGTTCGACATTAAATTTTATGAAACTTCATTAGATCGATCGGGATAGAACTTCAGATATTTTTTTTTAGGCATACATGTACGAGAAAAAAGAGATTATTTCTCTTTAATAACCAAACGTTCAATACTAAACTTGCATGGTGGAAACTTCATTTTAAACACAACACTTTGAAAACAATATTTGTTAGGAATATGTTTAAAGCAACAGAATTCCGTATGTTATTAAATACTAATTTTGCAACATCTCTGAGTATTATAACATTTATTCATTTTATGTTTTATGAAACTTTATTATGATATTATTAATAATATTATTATTAAAAATTTATTTAACTCACCTGGATTCGTAACTTCGCACGGCAATCTCAGCGTGTCACCTGATACAACGCGATACACTTGGCTGGGAGTTATAAACTGCGGCAGTTGCGTCTGATCCTGCTGCAGTTGCTGCTGCTGCGACCTCATGCTGGACAAAGCCAATGCCACAGGCAACGGTTCAGCTGACGGCTCTGGTGTTACTTGGAAAATGAAAAAAAGTTAATATAATAAGTAAGTAGTAGCAAAATATAATTTTCATTTTTTATCACCATACATTAATTACATAAAAAATCCATTTGGAATTCAATTTTGATACATGAATGAAATAAAACATAATTCTTAGGGAATAAATTGAAAATAAGCATAAATTGAAACATTAAAATTATACAACTCTTTATTGCTTATGGTTTATTTTTATTTCAATTATTACCATCAAAACGAATACTTTCCATTAGGTTGAGTTTTTTATACTCATGTCAGATAGTTTGGGAGAAGTAAATTAGTCCAAAGTAAAATACAGAATTTAGAAATTCAGTGGGCGTATTTTCACCTAATTAAGAAACGTTCGGGTTTACTAATTCAGTTCGCGAAAGGAAAGGTTGCCTCGTTCCTCTCCATAAAAAGCACAACCTTCATTAGCTCTCCAGATCTTTAAGCCGGGAGTTTCTTACTGGATATTCTTATTTTTATAGTAAAATATTCAAATGTTTAATTAAATGCTCCATTTCATAAATAGAAAATATATTAGAAATTGGTCAAAGTTTTAGACAATGTTGAAACAAATATACATTACGTCATGCATTTATTCTTGCATATGACCTTTCAGGCTTTTCTGTATATATGAAATTTGATACATAATTTATGCAGTATTTTTTTGTTTTTTTTTGTAAATTCTTTAGATTTCTGTAAAATTCTATATTTATTTTTACTTTGGCAATTATACTCAAAAGCATTGCAAATGCAGCTTTTGAGTTGCAATTTTTATTATGCAATTAATACTATTACTAGGACTGGTGTAGTAGATTCTTTGAAAAATTAATTTCATTAAAATCTGCAAGGCTAAAGGTTAAAGTAATAAAAGGCTAAGCGCCAAAGAGAATTCGTGCAAGAAATTACTTTGTATACGTGGGTTTTATTAAGGCACAGGGATATTTAAATTATTTAATGTTTGCAAGAAGTTTATCCACAAACCAATTACTGCTAGTATGAATTCGCAATTTTTTAAATGTTCTCATATTACAATGTTTAAATAAAATTTATTATAGTTGTCTTCTAACATATTATTTTACCCGGTACAACCTTCATTTAAAATTGATCACAAAAACTGCTATATAAGCAAATTTTGCCTTTTCTTTCATTTTAATTTTGTACCCGAACAACGGTATTTATTTGCTATACAGAAACATAAATGACAGAAAACAAATTGGAAGACAAATTGCTGAAATATTTACGAGGATTAACTGGAATGCCTATTTGTATAAAATGGTAATGGATTGTTTTTAATTACATTTCTGTATTATTTACCTTTTCTCAATTTCCCTGTTTCGATATTTATTAATTCATTTGCATAATAATTAAACGTTTCGAAAATTATTTTCGTTCGGGTATTTATTGCATTTACTGTTTTGAGCTGAGAACGCAAAATAAATGAATACGTAATAATCATACTTCTAATAATTTAGTTGGTATTTTTAGCAAAATTTTTCAATGTAACAACAACACATGACATTTGTAGATGCTTCAATTTGAAATTATTTTTTTTTCATACTAGAATAAAAAATAATAGATAAAGAGGCAGTATATTGTTACAACGATTAAAGCTAAGTTGTTCATCATAAAAACGTAGCAATAAGTAATTAATTCGACACTGGTCATGAGAATCGAAAACTTCACTCACTTATTCTGGATATTGTTAGATTTTTACTATTTATTAAGTTTCAATCAATCACTTCGGATATTCGCCTACGAAGCACGTTCAATTTTTGCGAAAAAGCTCGCAGAAGCACGCACGATGCATCAGACGTAGAATGTGCGTTGGCTGAAGCTCAGAGGAGCAGAAGAGCAGAGGAGCAGAGGAGCAGAGGAGCAGCGGACAAGAGGAATCGGTTGCATTAATTGCGATTTCACATGTCATGCCTGGCCGGAAGGTTTTTGCCGAACCGATAAAACACGATCGTCAGTAATTGAAACCGGAATTAAACCCTGCCGCAAACGCGTACAGAATTTAAAATGCCACTACGCTGCCGTACGAGGCAGTATTTTAATTAACAAAAGCTTAATTGTCAGCTGCAGAATGACGACGACATTCCGACAACAATTTCCAAGAGAAAATGGACATTATATGCAAATACAGGCGTGGAAATCAAACATCGTTCAGTCTTTATAGGCAGGTCGAGATTCTTGCTCATAGACTGAATTCCTATTTTAATTCAGTGCTACTATAATTAACAGACACTAAATAATTTGTGGTAAGGCATTTTGCAAAGATATGTAAGACGCAACCTTGCACAGTTAACGAATAAATTACAATTAGTAAAATAAATACACTTCAACTAAAAGCATCTATAATTAAGTTTTATTGATCATTAACGTTTGTTTCAGATCACATTGATTATATATCTAAATAAATAGAATTATACAACGTCCATCATTGACTAATCAATTATCACGATTATTAGCAATTTGTTTTTTGCTGTTATTTTGGTTAAGTAACATTAGTCGCATAATCATAATTACCGTATTATTGGATGAATGATATTTTAAGTACACTGCTATAGATAATTGTACTTAAAAGAAACACATTAATATATATTTAAAACTATGTACGATAATTATTATCGAGTTCCACACTTCATTAAACTTCTTATTACAACTACGATTTTAATTTTATCCATCACAATTATATTGGGCTTTAATTATTTTATTCAAGTAGTTTAGTTGTAAACTTTAATTCGTTTAATCATAGACAGGGAACGTATTTTACAAATTTCATCCGAATTCATACATTTAGACAATTTAGAGTTTCGCCAATGCAAAATGTAACATGACAAACGCCTATCCCCCAGGGAATAATACCATCAAGTACATTTTGATACAAACACAATCCAGCACGTCCATGATAACAGCTAACGCTCGTGTAATTTAATAAAATGGGAAATGGGACAAATTCATTTTAATTTTCGGTTGCTGAACTACCGTGTGCGTATCATTTTGTTCCATTTTTTTATATAATCGCGTTGGATGTTTTTATGTTAGGTCTAAAGTGCCGCGCTTGTACCATTATATTTTAACGGCAGCTACAATGGGGACGACGGCCCAGCGGAAATTTATTCTGTATTTCATTTGGGGATTAATTATATGCTTGTATAGATTTTTATTTTTATTATTGAATTGAAATAACCAATGTAAACGTAGAAATTATAGTATTTTGTATATTTTAAAGAATAATTAATCTGTTGCTAATAATTTTTACTATATTGCAAAATTTGTGGGTAGCACTATTCTGTTGCCTATTTAGTTTTGTCATCCACGTTTATTCAAAGTAATAACCTTTGACTAAATCGGTTTCTATATATCGTAGTTGTGCATTAAGCCTCTGGCAGAGCCGATAGGAATCTCATTGGATTATAACACTGGTTCCTTGTTCTATATTGGATTTATGGATATTCGATATCCATATGGCAGTCAAGTACGAGTATATCGCAAGCAAGAATCAGTTGTCTTTACATATCTGTATGAAAGGGTAATTTATTCATAATTCATATGTCAAATTAAATATAACATTGAAAAATAATTGGAAAAAAATATTCGCCACCGATTACGTGAAGTAGATATAATTTTATTCATCTTTAAGTATAGCTAATATAAGTAAAAAGAAACCCTTTCCAAAAGATGTGCTAAATACAACAACGTTGTAACTTTGAATATAATTTAAATAATAGTCGTAACATTTTATTAAGCTGTGTGTAATAAAATTGTATTTCTTTATTCGCTTTTATATTCGAAACCATAAAAATATAGGCTTCCAATGGAATGTTTGCTACTCTCGTAACCCATGAATATTTTCTATTGTAGTCATTTAAATCATTATTTTATAACATGGAAATAAAACGTAAAAATACTCATATTTTTGTTTTATTCATTCTAAAATATGAAAAAATCTTGCTGTAGTAATTCTAATGTTAGTTCTAGATCATTATAAACAATCTTATGAGCAAGTTAATTGTAAGAAAATTTGTTTTTTTTATTCAGAGCGAGTTTTCAGTCTAATACCTCTATGACGATATTATTATTAATGACATCAAAATTAACTAGTGGGGTGGGTGGCATCGTGCCTTAAGGCAAATTGCTGGAACTTCCCATACCGTAACGAAATGTTCGAGGAATACTGAATGTTTTCAAATAGATTATTATAAATATTGTAACATTGTCTAATATTTATAAGAATTATATAAACTGAATTGCAAAGTTAAAATTATTTGTTTAAAGTATATTAAAACTATAGTCAGAATTAAAAATAAAATCTGAATTATTTTCAATATACATAAAATTAAAAAAAAAAATTGAAAAAAAAGTTGAAACAAAAATTATTTTTTTTCAAAATCAATTATTTTGTTAAGACAAGCAGAAAGTTCTTTGAATCAATTAAATCGGACGCTTAGTTCTCTCAAAAACTGCCATTTTTTGTACATTTAGCTCCGTATCTTCGAAATGTCTGGGCCTGCCTTTGCGAAAAACTAATAACCACTTCTCCCAATCATTACTAATTGAATGTTTTTTAGATCATTCAAATCGGATGCTCCGTTCTCTCAAAAACTCGATTTCTATTTTCTGCACTCTTTGCTCCGTATCTCCGTTACGGCTGGACCTGGCTTTGCCAAAAACGAATCAACACATCTCCTTATCAATAGGAAGCGAATGTTTTTTGAACCATTTAAATCGGTTGTTCCGTACGCCCGAAAACGTGGGCGAAAAATTGTATCCATCCATACATACACACACACACACACACATCCATTTTTTCTGAAGTATGCCAAAATGTTCAGAAACCTTCAAAACGTCGAGAAATGTTAAAATTTTCAATTCCGATTTTCGGCCCATTACAATAACTTACCCTACAGGAAGTTAAAAATGCGAACATACAAAAAAACACACACAAACATCCATTTAGTTTCTGAGGTAAAATGTTCAGAAACCTTCA